ACCTTCCTTCTGTATTTTGAATTAGAGTTTCAATAATACTGATTATTGGTTTTGTTTGCTGAGTTCAGACAAGAGTAGATAATAAATAGCCAAATTAATCAATAGTGTGGTCAGTTATAAAGCAGAACTCTCGAACTGTTCATGCAGGTCCTTGGTTAATGATGGCAGTTGGGACTGGAATTTCCATTGGTCAGCAATGTTGTAAAAGTGCAACATCTTGCCACTTAGTGAAGAAAATTCCAGAACTTTCGGTTGCCTTTGTTAAGCAAATCACTGTGGGTCATTAAGCAAGGACATCACTTGGTTGCCATTGCAGACTGCTGCCAGCTTTCTTTGTAAGAAGGCAGCAAAGGTTGCAAATAGCAGTCACATGACTGGGGCACTGCAACAACATAGTTGCGAGCTGGGCACCAAACATCCAGATTGTAATGTGACTGGGGACACTGCAGCTGAGATAAGTACAAGGACTGACTAACTACCACTTGGTTTGACATTCTTATATATGTCAATTCACTGAACAAGTGATCATTAAATGAGGACTATATTCTGTTATCCTCACATGTCATGAAGATCCTAATAAGCCACAAGCAGGAATCGCATAAGATTCAAGTCAGATTATTCAATTGTGTTATATTCTATATAACTCCAATGGTATAAATCACCGTACCTGAGGAGCTGTCTGACCCCAATGAGATCCTACCCTACCTGTGCCGGCTGAAGGGACTTGCTTGGGACTCCTTTGGCCAAGAGCCTTTCTGCTTTGGCTCCCACCTCTGGACATCATACCGTACCTCTTGAGGTGAGATCTGTTTCCACTCTTTTGAAAGAGCCTTAAAATCTGGCTCTGCTGATCGACCTGGGTCCCAGATGTGGCTGTGCCACTCGAAGTGGTTAATGGATTAAATAGAAGATCCCACCTCCACTCCATTGTATACTCACCTTATCTAATTCTGTTAATTGTATTGTTACATTTACTTTGTAATGTTTTATTGCTTTTAAACTTGCTTTCAGTTCAATGTTAACATATTTTCTTAGCATTCCTTGTCAAAAAGTAAATTCATTTCGATGCTTTTAAAAATGACCTGTATTGTTTTTCAGAAAATTCTGGAAGGCATCTATTTTGTACTCCATGATGTACATTCATTTTCCAGAAGCTTCTAAGATAATGCAGCATAGTCATTTCATATTTGGAAGAGGAAAACAAAGGTAATCAAGCAACTAGGCTTCAAGTAAATTGATATGATCAACAACAGTGAAGTATGATTATGTATATTGAACATGGAAAAGGAATTTGTAAAATCTCGGACGTGAAGCATCTACAATTTTTTACTTCCAAATTAATATGTAAAGGACAATGGAGAAAACTTAAATGTAGAAACTGAGGGACAATAAGCAATGCAACTTGATGTACACAGATTTCCCTGCATGTGTGTAAATACAATTTATCTAAAATTATAAAAGCAATTGTAAAATATTCTTTTAAAAGTTAAAGCTTTTGTGCTTGTGGCGAGATGGGCAGCAAACAAATTTAATAAAATAAATGAAATATAGGTACTCAATTCCTTTGGCTCAGTTTATATACAAGTTGAATTATGGATGAACACAAAATAAAGTTTTATTTTGAACCTAGAACAAACCATTGTGTTTAGAAGAGAATAGAAGAGAATTATTTATTGGCCAAGTGTGACTGGACACACAAGGAATTTGTCTTTGAGTTCTGTAGAACAATTGAGTCAGTCATGGTTTGACAAAACCAAAATAATGTGCTTTGGTGATACGAGATTCTAATAAAACAAAATCCAGAAAAGGCAAGGCTGGGCTATGTTGCTCCACTGCCCCCCCTCCCTTCCCAAAAAGACTTTACTCCTCTCATTTTCTCCTTTGACAGCTTTTCTCCTCATATTTTTGGTTTTTCCTCCCTCACATCTTATCCACTTCTGCCTAGAGAGTTTTTGTTTACTGCTTATAAGGCTTTCTATGCATGTTCTTTTTTAGGAGAATTTAAAACAAAAGTATTTTCATATAGAAAGGATTCTTATAACTTTCAAAACTTTATTTCAAATCAATCTGGATCTTAGACCATTTGTAATTTTCCAGAATAAAAATTCTAATCGCCTTTTGCTATTTATTCCCAAATATTTTTTAAACGTTTTTAAACTTGTGTTTAAAACTTTTTGTTAAGGATTAACAAAAACAGCACTTTACTGTTTATTCAAAGCTTCGTTATAACTGAAAAGCAGTTAAATAATATCTAAGTGATTAGAAAAGGAAATATGTTCTTTTGAAAGGTGTCAGCCTTGATTTGAGCAAAAGATGGCTTTCCCTAATCACCCAGAGCTCTAAATTTGTAAAAGACTGCTGTCTCCTCACAAGGAGCAACTATATGGAATACTTGTGGATGATCTCAAGTTCTCTCCTTGTCCATTGTTTATTCTGTGTAGCCATATTCAAATTGCCAATTCTTCCCTGAAAGTCCAGAGTTCAGTTTTCATATAGGATTTATAAAGTAGATTTATACCATTCCAGTTGCAACAAAAGACTACCACCTTGAATCTCCATTTTATAGTTGTTTACTTATACTAAAACTCTTATTTGCCCTATTGCAGTAGTCAACATTGGAATATTTATAACATTTTCAACAGGTACATTTTTAACTTGCAGGATGTGTTTGTATCCAATATGCAAAATCAGTCATTTGAAAGAGAAGTACACCATCTTTGAGTTCTATGGTTTTATGTATCAGGACATAAAAAAATAATCTGGTCCTTAATTCTTAAAAGTAGGTAAATACAAGCTCAGAGTAAAAACAACACAAGACATATACCATGTCATCATTTATTTTACAAAAAGCCAAAATGGAAAGCCATGTTTAAAAAAGCTAAGTACACCTTATGATTCAATATCTAGCATCAATAACTATTTTTCCCCAAATTTTTTGATAGTTACAATAATTCCATCTTTCATATACTGTGTTGACTGGGTACATATATCTTGTGCTAACATAATACTTTTAACCAATGTAGCAATAATCACATTTCTTTGTAAATCATAAATCATTTCCTTGACTAATTTCTTTATATATTCATCTACTCAATTTTAACTTGTTTTATTTTCTAACCATTTATAAAATAAATCCTGTATCATATAATATTGTTTCTTTTCCTTTAATTCCAGTGTTAATCTATTCATCTCCGCACATTCAAATATTTTCTCAATCACTTTTCCCTATGCTGGTATTTTATCATTTTTCCAATTCTGCACAAGTACAATCCTAGTTGCTGTTAATATATGTATAATTAAATACGTTTCTTCTTTGCGATAACATTCAAGTACCATCCCCAATAAAAATACTTTGGATTCAAATCTGTTTCTTTATCATTTTTTCCAACCATGTGTGTATTTTTGTCCAATATCTTTTAGCTTCTGTGCATGTCCACTACATATGGTAATATGTTCCAGGTTCATGATGACACTTCCAGCATTTGATTGTTTATCTTTAAACATGTTTGCCAGTTTTGCTGGTTAGCAGAAATAACTTGTGGTAATCATTTTCTGTATGATTTTATCAGTCTCTCACATCATTGTGGAAGAATTTGGCCCACTCTTCTTCACAACATTGCTTCAATTCATTGAGGTTTATGGACATTTGTTTATGCACAGAGGTCTCGCTATGGCATTTTAATTGGGTTGAGGGCTGGACTTGGACGAGGCCATTGCAACATATTTTTCAGCCATTCTCTTGTAGATTTGAGGTGTGCTTGGGATTATTATGCTGTTGTATGACCCAATGTTGAATAAGCTTTAGCTGTCAGACAGATGTCCTCACATTTAACTAGAATACATTGGGTTAGAATCCTAGAATACAGAGAATCCTAGAATACAGAGGAATTCAGTTGACTCAGTGACTGCAAGGCATCCAGGTCCTGTGGCTGCAAAACAAGCCCAAATCACCACCCCTCCAACGATCACTATGCTTGACTGTTGGTATGAGATGTGTTTCATTTTTGCCAAACATGTCACTGGGCATTATAATCAAACATCTGTTTTCTCTACAAAATAATTTTGTGATTTGTAGATACAACTTTGCAAACCTAAGCCATATTGCCATGCTCTTTTTAGAGAGGAGGCTTTGTCCTGGGAACTCTTCCAAACAACATATACTTGATCAGCCTTTTTCTAATTGTACTGTCATAAACTTTAAAATACTGAGGCCTCTAGAGTCTGAGATGTAACTTGTTTTTTTTTTTTTTTTTTTTTGCAATTTGAGTATTGCACCATCTGAGATGAATTTGTTGGATCATCCACTCCCGGGAAGATTGGCAACTGTCTTGAATATTTTCTACTTGTGAATGATCTTCCTCACTGTAGAATGGACTTTGGATTGTTTGGAAATGCCTTATAACCCTTCTCAGATTGATGGGCAGCGACAACTGCTTCTCTTGATTGCTGAGGTGTTTTTGGCATTGTGTTAACATTTATCTCAATGCTAGAGGACCAGCAAACTCTTAAAACTTCAGTTTTTATAAAGGTAGTCACACTTGATCAAAGACATTGATTAGCAACACCTGGCTTCTACTTAGCCTCTTCATATCTAAGGAAGTAGTAAAGGTGTACTTAGTTTTTCAGATGGTTTCTCCAGTTTTGCTCTTTTTGTAAAATAAATGATGGCATTGTGTAATATGTCATGTGCTGTTCATCTGAGGTTATATTTACTTTTAACTGCTAAGGACCAGATGATTTTTATATGTCCTCATGTCTAAAACCATAGAACTAGTTTTATAACTAGTTTTATCTTTTACATAACTAGTTTTATCTGTAATTTTATCTTTTACATAACTAGTTTTATCTGTAATACAGCTTTTTGACTTCAAATAGTTACTTCACTAAGATAAGACCAAATAAAAACCATGTAAATTTATTTTTAGTAAAAATGACATTTATATTATACATTCTATTACAAGGAAACCATTGACAGAATTGTAATATTGAAAGGACAGGATTCTAGTCTTAACATAGATTTACAAGATGATGCTTCAGCTCAGATAACCAGATAAGGTATTTGAAAGAATCTTAATTACTGTTGGGTAAAAAATCTTACAAAAGGGCACACATACATATACAATGTTATTTAAATCACAGCAAGGTGTCCTTTTTGTAGGCCACCATACTGCTAACTTTGTGTATTGTAGTAGTGAAAGAACGAAGGCGAACTTCTTCAGAATTAGTAATGAACTGTGGTCCTGACTCCTCCCACTTTTCTGGAACAGACAGTTCTTTGTCTGTGAATATGAGTAAGTCAAATGTGCCTGGAAGAATCACAGATGAATAATTATTTTGCTACATTTACATGAATCTGGAATAAACATTTAAACAAAACTATCCGTTCCTTGAGTGCAACGTATAAGCTTACAGTAACAAAAGAACCAGTCAATTATGACCTGTTTAGCAAACCATAATTACAAATCCCAATTTATGACGTGTGACCCCAGTTACATAAATCATGGGAAACCACCAAATTGTAACTCCTGAACTCTTCCATTGTCCCTTACCCATGTATGCCACCCAGAATTACTTGATTGTGAGATAGGCAGCTATTTAAACATGACAAATATTGCAACTTTAGTCAGCTTCATATTAGCTCAGATGATTTCCAGGCATTTGGTCACAGGACTCATCCTATACAGAATTTTTGTGAGAATTGCAATTAGTGAAGTGTACCAAAACCAAACTTATATTCCGTGATTAAACAATATTACTTACAGGTAGTTTCTAACAAAGGAAGGAATGTCACTGTAGCTGTTATTTGTCTGATAATAGATTTGATTTCATCCTGTATAGCTTTCTGAGATTTCTGCCTTGGTGCACTAAAATAGCAATTAAAAGTTCTCAATGTAAAAGAAGGTAAAATATAAATCAAATACTATTTACCACAATATTACTGGCTGGCCAGGCATAATATACTAACTTCCTAAATAATTAACATGACCAAATGAGGTTAATACAAGCATTACAATCCGGTCTTTCTGTACTTTTTCTAAATTATCTGATCCATTCATAGCAATTATAAGCCTTAAAACTAAATCTAATAACCTAATATTAAACCTAGTAACTGCAAATTTTGGCTATAACATGAATTCAACCTGTTTCTCTTTTGCACACTTTCGGTGCTATTATGGAGACAAAGAACAGGTAGTACAACTGATAATAGATGTTAATATTTGTGAAATAGCTTTAAAAATTCTTACTCTGGCAGTAAAACAAGAGACACACACCAATTAATGAACAAAAATGTTTTGGGTTCTCACTAACATGTTGAGTGGGGATCTTTGTAAGACCTGAGTAATGCTAGAGACATTATAAAGCAAAGCCTGTGATGTGGGCTGGGCAGGCTATATACTTCAGGGATAGCAAGAACTTTTGAATAAGAAATAATGGTGGGGAAAAAACCCTACATTTTCCATTGTTTGAAACAAATATACTTACTTTTCATTTTTGGCAGTTTTGTCACATTCAATGTCAAATTGCCATCTTTCAAGAACTTCGGTGGTTTCCTTACTAGAGATCACTACCACTAGCCGCTGAACCAGGCATTCAAAAAGCCATTCTAAGAAGAACAAGAAGTTAGTTTCCTGAATTCTACAAAATTCAAAATACGCATTCTTATCTATCCCCTGGTGTAGTTGTATCATTCTCCTGTATATGTACATAATATTGCTTTGCTTGACTACCCAAACATTTAAGATAAACTGGAAGATTTCCTGAGGACAACTGAAAAACATACCGGTAGCTATCAGGCAGGTAAGCCTGTTATTTATGTGGTCACACTCTGGAATTCAGAGGCAACTAAATGAGACTCCCTGAGCAGCCTTTTCTTGGTCTCAGACCCTGGGAGCCTACTTGATTCTCAATGAGCTCTAACAAATAAAAAGGCTGATGAGATGCCTAGAGCAATGCAGATGGAAAATAAAGAGCAAATGCAACCAAACATGGCAATGCAACCAATGTTTAGGTATCAGTAATATGCCTGCTCTATGGAGCCTGCAGACCCTACAAACTTGTTTATGAGTAGTTGATCCCTATTGGGTAAAGAAGTTTTACCTTAATTTGTATATTTGAAGTCAAAAACAGAGAAATAATCCCATAACACAAACAAAAATATAGGTTCTCCCACACATGTGTGCTAGTCATTTCTGGCTCTAGGGAGCGGTGCTCATCTCCGTTTCTAAGCCGAAGAGTTAGCGCTGTCCGAAGGCGTCTCTGTGGTCATGTGACTGGCATGACTAAACACCAAAGGTGCATGGAGCGCTGTTACCTTCCCACCAAAGTGGCCCCTATTTTTCTACTTGCATTTTTACGTGCTTTCAAACTGCTAAGTTGGCAGAAGTTGGGACAAGTAACAGGCGCTCACTCCATTACATGGCACTAGGGATTCGAACCGCTGAACTATCGACTTTCTGATCAACAAGCTCAGCATCTTAGCTGAGTTATCGCGTCCCAAAAAAATATAATGCAAAAAGATAAAAATATTGAGAAAGATACATACACAGAGTATATATACATATACACACATATGTATGTGTATATACTGTGTGTGTGTGTGTATGTATGTGTGTATATATACACACACACATACACACACATATACTGTGTTGTATATAGTATATATATACACACACACAGTAAATGTATATACAGTATATATGCTATGTGTGTGTCTATATATATATATATACACCACACCCACACCCCCCACACACCCCCACACTCC